TTGTAATCAATTTGCATTTATTTATGTAAAACTGTAATGAGCACTGTATAGGAATTAACTGTAACATGTCTGTCCAAGAGTTCACAGTCTGAAAGTCACTGTACAAAATGAAGGCAATGAGGGTGGATGAAAGGGAAACATTCATGATTTGGGTCCAAAGATCTGCTTGAGTTTGCTTTAGCCATGGATGAATTCTTCTCAGCTAGATTTAGAATCAGCTTGATCTTTACATGTGTTCCAGGTGATTGCTGGAAAAAAAAAGCTAGTCTGTTTTTGAGAGAATGCTTCTGGTGGGGCCACAAGGATCTGCCTTTTCATGTTGCTCCCTGGTGATCGTAGTTAAAAGCACCACCCATGGTTGAAAGCACTTTGGAAATTTAACTGCTGCCTCACCTTCCAAAACAAACATACTCGGGAACAAGAGAGAGTTATAGATGTGGGTGGGAGCAGCACCACACAAAACATTTGTAAGAAACAATACAAAGAATTGACCCAGAAAGGGATAGAACAGGATTTGCCAAACAAATGCCTACTTGGTTGGGTGATTTTTTTAAACATAGGTCACAGAAATCAACAAGAGTTTCACCTAGAATAAAAGTTAACATTAAAGGATTTCTGTTCCTGTCCTGTATACACATCCTGAACAATGGCATTTTTAAATGAGAATTTCATTGAGAGTAAAGGGTTAATGTTAAACAATCTTTCCACATTAATCTAAAAAGTGACCTGGTGAACCTAAGTTCTGACTGTCCATGACGCAATCATCTGGGACTGACACAGTAGAGAATAGACTGATTTGTGTCTGCCATGGCCACATGTGCAGCAGTGCACCACTCACTGTGGTGTCAGTATAGGATCATGAAGTCCAAACACTGCAGCTCAGCCAGGGGCCCCCAAGATAGCAGAGAGCTTGAAACCCCAGAGCTTGGTCCAGACCCTTCTAGAGCTGAAATAACAGAAGCCCCTGAACTGGAGACCACAGTTTCCAGACCAAAATCTACAGCCACTGAGCAAAGGTCCAGCAAAGAGCAAAGTACATGCTTCCAAGGGCTACGCATTCCACAGAAAAAGTGCACAGGCACAGGCTGTGTGTCAGGGTGGTTTTGCAGAGGAGTGAAATAGCAGGCTTCTTGTTGCACAACTGACTGTTTATAACTCTGCACTCCTCAGAAAGGGGGTGGAGCATGAGAAGGATAGTCAGGCTTGGAGCACAGAAAAGGGTTCAGTTGAGAAGAGGCTCTTACTGGAACAAAACTGCTCCTTGGGCTCTGTCCAGGGTACTGAAAAGACTTCTCTCTACTACCCTTGACTTCAGTTCTCTGGACCTTGATGAAACTGGCTGTTAGTTTCTTTTCTGACCATTCCTTCAGCTCCAGACTGCTTCCCAGATTTTGCCCTTCAGGTTTGCCTTTGGGCTTTATTGCCAGGATAGGACAATGGTATATTATAGACTATGGTAGCATCTCTAGTTTGCATATTTTTCAGCTCTCTGATTAACATAAGCGCTATATGCTTGTTGAATTACAGTTCTGTTTGTGTATCCTCTGTTTTGCTGGGGATACATGCTCTTTGGAATGGGATGTGTCATGTGTAGTATCCCTTCTTTGTCTATTGGGCAGTGTAGAAATAAATAAAGAAATCTTGATTTGCTCAGGCATAATTTACACTTCTCATTATAATGATTTCCTAATTCAAAATGCTCATGATAATCTTTAAAGTCTAAGCTGCTTGGGTCAAGCATACCTTAAGGACCAACTTCTTCCATCTGCATATGTCATCAGAAAAGGTCCTTTGGGAGTTCAGCACTATCAGAAGTGCTTGACTGGAACTGGTGAGAGAACATTCTCCATAGCAAGATCCAGAACTTCCTGCTCTAGGAGAGCCATTTGTGTACTACCTTACTGGTATTTATATACCATTAAAGAAGGAGCTGTTCTAGCAAATCACTGGTGTAGTTAGTTGATGTTGTTTTATTAACTAGACTGACCATTTTTTGAAGTGGTGGTGCTTACTTTATGGCTGTTTTGTATTGTATTGTATTCCTATACTATCTTGAGTTCTTTACAAATAAAGCAGAAAGGTGGGATATGAATATTTAAATAAAATACCCCAGCCTTTAGAAAAACTGATTGGTTGTTTGGATGTGGTTTCAAAGGGGTGGATTTCCTTAGTTTACCTTTTGCATCTGAAACCAGCTTTCAACATGTTTTGCCTTTTTTCCTTCATGCATAGAAACATACGAATGTTTTAATCTGCTGAATGAGAATATTGATCCACTGACTGGCAGCAGTTCGCTAGAGTTTTAGGCAGAATTCTTTCCTGGCTCTACCTGGTGATGATGGGGATTAACTCTGGGTCCTTCTGCATGCAAAGCAGGAGCTCTGCCACTGAGTTAGAGTTCTTCTCACAGATGCTCTGTGTGGGGTAATTTGAACTGCAGAGCACATATTCTAAGAAGCCTACCACCCTTTGCAAATGTGAGGTTTTCTGACCCATAAATGCCAGAGGTTTTTTTTTTTTTGGTGGTGGTAGTGCTTCCATGCATATATGCAAACATAAAATGCATTCTGTATTCTTCAGTTGTTTTGCAGAATAGTGGAAAAACCTGTTTGTAAATCACAAGTCTATAGAGGCACATAGCATTTTCCACAGTACTGTAAAGAAGGAATAAAAGGCTAGTTGTGTTAAGGAAGAAACTCTTCAAATTTTGCTATAAAATAGTATTATAGTGCTGCAAACTGTGTAAACAGTGTTATAGCCACAACTTGCCATAGAAAATAAGTTAGGGAGTGTGTGTGTGTGTGTGTGTTTGTGGGGAGGTTGCTTTATTTTTTAAAAAATTTGGTAGCCTGCAAACCAGTTCAGAAAATCTATTGTAATAAACCTAAGTAACCAACCAATTGGGTCTCGGGATGGGTGGGAGAATTATAATCAGGGGTTTTTTTTTGTCATTGAACGCACTGGGTTTTCCTGCACCTTTTTTTCCAATGGATTTTATGAAGTGATTTTGAATCGTAGCAGATCAGCAGCAAACATCATTAACATAGTGCCTGCAAGCTGCTTTTGTGTCTGCTATCTGCTATCTGATAGTGAGATAGTGAGGGTGCTGCTCTCAGCTTGGGACTGGATCTTATTTCTAAGGACCAAAGTAGATAAGATGAGCAACCCATTCATGTGTTTGCCTCAATCATAAAGGATGGGAGTAGAGGGCACATGTCCACATGCAAAAGAGTAAGAACATCTTCCCACCTACTCTGCATTCTAGCTGAGCTCTGAGAATGGAGGTGAGCTGGCTGGGGGAAAAACATTCCATGAGCAATGGGGCTCAGTGGGAGGAGGAGGAGGAAGGCTTGCTGTGCTTCTTTTCAAATAAAGAGCATATTCCACATTCCTAATTTGTCCCTGATAAATTAAAGAAAAAACTGATTATAGCTTTCTTCCGCAGCCTCTGCAGGCATGATTTTTTTTAAAAACCTGCTACTCTGAGTATGAAATGAAACATCTACTAATTTTCATTCTGGATACTTCAGTGCCATGTCACTCACAGCGCTTGAAGCTGTTTGTGTGGTTGGGGGCTGAGGGCAGGTGCCTACTTGCAGAAAGACTTGCTGGGTGACAAATTATTTCTCTCTGAAGAAATAAACAAATCTATGTTTTATTTCATGAAATAACTTGGATAAAGCATTAGATATTTCCTAGAGATTTTGTATTTTCATCTTTACATCTGTTGTCTTTTACCCTGTGAGGATAATCAAGCATTTTACAATGTTCTAAATGAACGACTGCAGCCAGTGAATTCCTAAACGCCTGTCATATGAAAAACAGCCATGTTTAGATGCAGCAGAACCCTCTTGGGCATCTATGTAAAAGCTCACTTGGGAAAATAGGAACAGGCTGAACAGAATGTGAAAGCATCAGATCTTTAAGGAATCCCAAGCTTGTTTAATTTGTTCCTCTTACAAAGGGAAGGTTTGAACTACAAGATTCCTGTAATAATATTAACTGATTAATCCCATGGGTACTCTGTATGCCCCATGGCTTTTCTCTAGATTTATATTTTTCTGTTTAAATATACTTGACCATATGTTAGAAAGCACCCCTGGCAATCTTGTTGGTGTTCACCTTAAAGTGCTGCTTGCTCTACATTAGAAAATGAAAGAGTTTCTTTTCTTGATTCTATTGAGCAGGGTAGGTCAACTTTCTAAAAGCTTGTATTCTCAGGGGCGATTATGTTCTCTAGAGTGTGGCCCCGGGGCCAGGAGGAGTCACCTCCAAAATACTTTTTTAACTGCTCAACTGTAAGGACATAAATATTATGAATGCTAATGTGTACATGCATTGCATATAAATAGAACTCTGCACATTTAAATAGAGCAATATAAATGCTGGGAGAGGACATTAAATTGTGGGATTTTTATTTCTTATGTATTACTAGAAATATTTTTGGGAAAGGGTCATAGCAATCTGTTTAATAATCTGCTTTAATATTCCTTTATGTAAGTCTTAACAGTGATACTAGCTTAAATTGTGTACTTTATTGATAATTTGAAAGTGTTATAGTACAAGAAACTCTTATGAATGCAACCTTGGTAGTAAGGTCTTGTGACTAGCAACCAATGTAGCATATTTCTTCTTACCTTCCAATATTCCAAGAACTACTTCAGTTAAAGCAGGTTTCTAAAATCTGGATTGTATCTAATACGGGCCATTTGCCAGCAGAACATAAATTGTCTGTGGAATGGATTTCTCTCCCCACCGCTTTCTACTTTCTGACCCCTTGAGGGTTAGGGGCATATCTAGAGCAAGGGAAAGTCATTTCTGCAGCTGAAAAGTCCTTTTGCAGGGATCTGGATTTAACTCTGTCATTCCAGTGTGGTAATCTTGATAATTGACAGATTTCACAAAGAAAAAGGAGAAGAATTGTGAATAGTTCATTATCTTGTTCTGAGTACAGGATTAACACAATTGAATATCTTGTTTGTTTGCTTTCATTTTCCCAGGACATCCAGGCTGAAATTGATGCCCACAATGACATCTTCAAGAGTATTGATGGAAACAGGCAGAAGATGGTAAAAGCCTTGGGAAACTCTGAGGAAGCTGCACTGCTACAGCACCGCATTGATGATATGAACCAACGGTGGAATGATCTGAAAGCAAAGTCTGCCAGTATCAGGTAAAATACAATGTGAGCATTAAATGTGATTGAGGGCCTCCTAATTTTAGTACATTCTTCATGTGTATACCTCAAATATTTTATGAGTGCAAAGATGAATATAGCATAAAAACAAGTTGCAAGGGAACATACATAATACGTAAAAGACATTAAGATACATTAAAGTAACCTGCTCAAACCATAGTATACAGGGAGCAGTCTGTAAGGTGGACCTAAAGCATACCTTTAGGAATTTGGTGAAAAACGCATTACGTTAACAGTACTGTTAGGAGAAAGTGGCCCAGAAGAGGTGAGGCTGTATGTAAATCAGCTGGGAGAGTGTTCCATAACTGCAGACACACGGGCCAGAAGGGTCAGTCCGTAATGATTGCCAGCCTAATGGGTCTTACTGGCAAGTTAATGAGCAGATCTTCAAAGGAGATCTTAAAAAATGGACCCGATCATATGTGTGAAGGTGTTCCTTAAGATGAATTGTCCCCAAACAATTAGTAGTTTTAAATGTTAACACAGGAGCTTTAATTTTTTTCATCGTCCAGGTCTGGTGTCCACCAGGGAACTATGAAATGACCTTTTTGTCAGAAGCCACAAAGACGTGAGACTGGAAGCAGGAATTGGAACCTTGTGCTTCCTTCCTATTTCCTTACTGTGCAGAAATCAGTGTTCAGGCCTGAATTTATTTGAATGTCTCATCTCCCTGACAGTGAGATTGAGATTTTCTAAACACAGTTCTTTCTAATTTAAGTATTGCATTTTGCTTTCAATGAGCTGTGTCACCACAGGTTGCTAGTTTTCATACTCTGTGTCATGATACATTTGGTCCTGTTGAGTATTATTAAAAGCAGTGGCATGGAAAAAGGCTCTTCATGGCAGTATGTCAAGGCTCTTTCTGGTGAGCATACTCTGCAGATCATTTTTCTCATATCAGTCATGAAATGCCCATCAATTATATTACTTTATGTATTTGTCTAAAATAAAGTCAAAGGAATAATAAAAAGATCTTTATGTGGGGATGGTAATTCACAGAAGGCAGGAATATGGGGCACACCAGGAAGCAGATGGTCAGAACTGGAGCAGCACTGAATAGGGTTGGAGAACGTAAAGCTAAAGGGGAATGTCCTAGGCAATCTCCCCCAACAGAATTTATATTCTGGTCATTTATATATATTCTGGTCATCCAATCCTGCTGTTGCTACTGGCAAGTCTGACTGGTGGTTGTTTTTCATGCTGCCTTCAAAGGAATGCTTTCATGGAATTTTTTATGCTTTATTAGTTTCCTGAGTTTGGTAGCTCAGTAGAGTTAGATGCCCTAATTCAGGATCTCTGTTCCATTATCTGACTTGGTCTAGTAGATGGACAACCACATTACCAAGCTACAGGACAATTAAATAAACTTACCTAAAGCCAAAATTATTTGGTTATTGTATGTAAGAATGTGATTAACTTCTAAATTTTCTGGGAAGCTTGAGAGGTCAGTATGTGTTGGCTTACACTGTGGGTTGTAAAAATGAGTGCTATTAAACTTCTGTAAGCTTCCCTCACAAATCAGCAAGAAAGAGATGAGGAGACATTTATGTTAATTCTTTAATCAACAACTGCAAAGTTCCAGCGGTAACAATTGAGCAGCTTGGTATTTCTCGGGGATTAATGATCATTTGGAAAAATTAATGGCTCAAGCTGCCCTCAAGTCATTTACTTCAGCCAGTCATTAATTCCTGTCTGAGGATGAGATACTCATTGTTGCTATGAACAGTGTGTAACAATTAAGTGTTAAACAACTTTTATTGCTTGTTTAGTTTGAGTATACAGGTGGAACATGATGTTCAGATGACATTCATCAGCTGTGTGTGGGAGAAATCCAGAGGGATAACTGTGGAAGTATATAATAAGAGGGTTCTTTGCAAACAGTGATTCATCATATATAATACAGAGATAATCCTTCTAACGGTAATCATAATGTAGGCTTGGTAATTTTGATTTTGCATTTCAGAGAAAGGCATACATGCTATTTGCTGCTATCTCTGGTAGTGTAGCTGTTTGATTTGCCATTATGTAGTCTCTACTCTGTGGATTGATCTGTGGCAAATTTGTTGATGGCAATTCCTATTTTTGTAGCAGTGGATTGGAGTAGATAGCTTTCTGGCCTTTTCCAAGTCTATGATTCTTAAGGGTAGGAGTTGATAAAGCCATTGGAAATAAGAAAATTGATGAAACAGTGACAATGCTTTAGAAAAGCATATGTTTTTGTGCTAAGTAAGTCTTAAGTAATCCTTTATTTTTTATCACATTTCTGTCCTCTGTGTTCTTATGCTGTTATTATTTCATTTTTTTTTACAACAACCCTACTTGTAACTTTTCAGTCTCCCAAGTTAAAAAGGGTGAACAAATATATCCATATTCCATGTCTACTACTCCACACTGGCTCTTTCTTTCTCCTGTTCTGGATAGTAGTGTCCCCTACCTATGGCTTTATATACTGTTTTGAAATTGAGTGCTTCATAAAGAGAGTGATTGTTCCTCCTTCCCCATAGTTTTTGAATTTCATTTTTTCCCAAAGTGGAATGGAGGCCCAGGACAAGTCACAGGTGTTAGATCCAGCTCTGTTCTGATTTTTCCATCTCTTTCAATTCCAATTCAGGTTACCGTTCCTTAGTTTACTTGATAACATAACATTTCTGTGCACGTACATGTTAAAAAGTTATACTTCAGTTCTGATTGAAAAGGAGCATCGAGTAGTAATTTCATCCACTGTGCCATGCTAGCAAAAGTCTTCATGTACCACTTTAAGCCCTTGACATAGAGCTGAAGTGGACGTAAATGGGAAGAGTGTTACCATTTAACACAGGAGTGAAGTTCATCTTTGGCAGTTCTCTTCCTTTCTGCTGTACACTAAAAGTGTCGTAGATTTAAGAGGCAGAACTAGCTATAGATAAGTGCTGTTGGAAAGGTCCCAAGAGAGTTTAGAGAATGTATTTCCGGGGATCAAGAATGCTTTCCCAGCAAGACGCATTCAGCTGGCAGTTCTTACCTTGTGAATACCAGTGGCAGCTAAAGTAGGTCTTTTAGGCCCAAAGAACAAGTTACATCTCTTCCATCTTAGTCTGGAGCTGCCTTTCCAATAGAGCTGGAACTTAGGCTTCATAGGGACATTAATTTCTAGAAGAGAATGAGAATAACTCTTTGAATCTCTCTCAATAAAGCAAAGTCTGAAGTAGGCAGGAACAGAAAGCTTTTGTGTGTAGCTAAATGTGTTTAACTGAAGGAGTGATCCAATATATTTTGGAACAAAAATAGAAGATGCTACATTTAAGTCTGGGAATATGATTGTTACTATGGGATCCAGCTTGTCAGAATAAAAAGCAGCAGCAACAAAGAAGAGGTGTATCATTTTGTAAAGAAAAGAATAAGATATTACTAACTTTTGCTTGTCCTTCTAAATAATGTTCTAGTAAAGAGAAAACAGATTGCTTTTGGTAGTCTTGTGGAAAGGATTTTGATTTTCTTTCAAAATCAAATGATGTTGAAGTGCTTGTCACAGACATAGGAATGCCACTATAGTAATGTAGGAGCTCCTGTACTGCTTTGGTAATTGAGGAATGTCCAAGGTCATATGGAAGCAAAAGCCACTTCCATACCAGTGTCATCCCTACCAACCCATCACTGGCAAGCAAAAGAAGTGATTTTTAGATTGCTAACTTGACCTGAACTTTCCAGTGTACCAGAGCAGAATGGGAAAGGAGATACACTGCACCAGTTCATGAAAAGTGTTTTGCCTGATTTCCAGTGATACCCTGTTCTCACCACAGACCTCTCCCTACAGCCCACACTGCCCAGAGGAACCCTTGAGGAATGACTTCAGGGATGAAGTGCTGGGGAAGCCTCAGTTTACAGATAAGCTTTCCTTCCATTGGATCTAGATGGTCATGCTAAAGGCCTCGCTGTTCTGGAGTAAAAGGGTTCCTTTCTATGGGATATTACAATAAACCCGAATATTAGCCCAGCTCTTGTAGACAAAGCCAGTTGATAAGGACATCTCTCTAGGGGAAGAGTCAGTTAAATGTTTTGTTTATCATTCTGTACAAATGGCTTTGCTTCTGGGTGTGCAGTGAACTGTAGCATATTTATGAATTGTGGCTTGGTGGAGTGGGTGAAGAAATTGCCCCAGTAGCTCCATCATCTGAGAAAACTGTTCAGGACAACAGGAGGCTTCATTGGGGAGGAGAAGATGGATGATTTCCTTTCAGTGAACTTCCTTTCATTAATTTACCTTAGGACCTAAGCATGCATGAGTATAAATGTATAATTAAGTAAAATGCATTTAACCTGGTGTTTGAACTCTTTACTTTAGTCCGGTAGAATGAGCTTTGGTTATTGAGAAGTATAGAAATGAAATGAATGAATAATCACTGTGGCAGTCTGTGTTACTGCCTTTAAGAAATGTATCCATTGCTATTTTTCTTGTACATATTTCTAAAACATTTACTTTATTTATGGTACTATTGAAACATTGCAAAGGTAGAGAAAGGAAGGTTTGAATTATATTGCATATACACATATAATATGAATGCTTAACATGGGCTTGTATATAAATTAGCCTATAGTGAGTAGGCAGCAATCTTGGGAAATCCCTGTCTTTCAGTCTAACTTGATGTTGAGATTTGGTGGGAAAATAAATAGATTATAATTGTATAGTACTGTGTAGCTGAAAAAAAGCTGTAGAAATATCACACAAGAACAATTAGGAGATATCGACAGTTGGCTTTTGTGGAATTTGAAGGCATAGTGTTGGAATATAGTTAATTTTATGCTGGAATACTCTTGAGACAAATAGGAAAGATTATGTTAGTGTTAATATGAGGCAGGGACCCAGAAAAACAGGAATTATCTTCTGGAGGGTGGGCCTGTTGTAGTGCAGGCTTCCCCCACTAGGTGAGTGTTCTAGGAAACCATCTGCATTAGTGTACCCAGCTGAGTAGTTGTGAGAGACTGCATTCGGCTTCAGGAAGGGGGGTTTTTGGAGACTCAACACATTTGCCATTTCCTGATGGCTGATTTACATGAACAACATGTGGCGGTGAAATGTTGTTCAGCTGAGTGTTCAGCACATTTTGACCAAAAATGGCATGACCCTTGTGCCCCACCCTCCATGTGACTTTTGTTGTTGTTGTTTCCCGGGTTCAAAAAAGTTCTCAAGGGGAAACATTTTGCCAATGTGGAGGTGAAACAAAAATGGCAGAAGCACTAAAAGGCACCAAAATGAATGAGTTCAAAACCTGTTTTGAGCAGTGGAAAACACGTCTCAATAGGTGTATTGCATCAAACAGAGATTACTTTGAAGGTGCCTGAAATTTGAACATTGTAAAAATAAATACATGATTTTTGTATAAATAAATTCCTTTTTTGGCGGGGAGAGGTCCCTCCTCATATAGTCCCTTCCTGCCACCAATAGATATTTGATGCTGCAAGTTTTACTTTCAGGTTTCTTGGCACTGCTGTTATTTACTGGTCTTTACTGATGTCATTATTACTATTATAAAGTTGTCAATGTTTTTGTTAAATGTTTTACATCTGCTTCAACAAATAAAGTAAATCTGTCTGTTTCCTAGGCAAGTAGTGAAAAGTCACTACTTAGTTGTAAACCACTCAGAGAGCTTTGGCTACGGGCAAAATAGACATGAAATAAATAATAATAATGCTTGCCTAGCAGGGAAGAATTGTATGTCAGCATGACAGATCTCCATCCTTCATTATTTGTGGCCAAATAGCCTTCTGTTGTGTGTGTGTGTGTGTGTGTGTGTGTGTGTGTTTTCAGTACAGTCACTTCTGGCTTGAATTTTAGTACTGTTAAGAGTAAAAGTAGAAAATAAAAAGGGTGGGAGGTTTGAGATCACAATTCAGCAAATATTTATACATGTTTGTGCTTTTTATGTTTGGCAAGCATAGGAGTGACTTCCTAAACTGGGATTAGGGGAGACCAGTGACAACATTTTTCCTCACCCAAAAATATTTGTCGTCTTGCTTTTTAGAAATGAACTGCTAGATTTAACCAATTTCCTACCTTATTCTTTGAATAATATATTTCTATTCGTATTTTTCAAGTGCTTCCCCAAAGAACCCAAATTTCTGTTGATTCCCAACAACTCTAAAAAACAGAATAGCACAGGGCCATCCATTGCAGGGACGTTCCCTTTGACAGTTGCCATACAGGACTGGCGAGCTAAGTATTCCTCTCAGGAATATAAAGCTTCTCAACCCCAATCCAGACAGTACCAAATTAGTGAAAAAGTTGGGACTGTATTTCATCTATATCCTGCCTTTCCTCCAAGGCGTTCAAGATAGCATACTTGGTTTCTCCACCACCATATCTTCTGAACAACCCTGTAGGTGGGCTAGGCTGATTAAGAAAAGCTGAACTGAGAGAGAAAAACTGACCAATGAACTGAGTCGTGATTGGAAGCAGATCTCCCTGGGTCTAGTCCAATGTGCTAACCAATGTACCAGTGCACTGGCTTTTAAAACTTGTTTCAAAAGTCAGAAGATTTATTTAACTAGAGATTTATTTGAGAAAGGAAGTATAGAATCAAGGACACCATGCCAAAAAATGCTCACACTCTGTGCCAAGCCTTTTTGTAAGCATTCTTCAGTCAGCATTTTGTCAGCCTGGGATTTGCTGTAATGGGCTTGCTGTGATGTTTGTTTCTTTTTATTTACAACATTTATATACCTTTCTACATCTAAACAGATTCTGGAGCAGTGTTGCAAGAGATTATTCCTTTGATGCTTACAGACAGGAAGATTTGGTTAGTCTTAATGCTTGATAAAAGCCAAGGGCATATAGTCCCAGTCTGAATCTCAGTAGCATCTCTGATATAAAATTGCAAAACTAGTTTTCCAGTGTTATTTTGTATGACAGTTCCATAGAGATACAGAAGGACTGCACAGTGGGTGTCCATGTCAAAAGAGAATTAAGGCTGATGACAGCTTCCAATTTAATAGCAAAGCTCAGACTATGTGAGCCTTTAGTCTCCCCCTGGTTTAATAATCAGTAGTCAGCTGACCATTCATCCTTAGATCTTCTTTGGTGGGGAATATGATGGACTTGTAACTCATATGCCCTGAAATTTAAGGGAAACCAGGTATGACTTTAGACATAGCACCTAACGCCTGTCAACAATATTGACAACAGGGAATAAGTAAAGGACCCACTAATCATTGGAACTTGCTTTTAAAAATGGATATTTTTTAAGCGATTCCTTTCTTTAAAAATGTCATAATCTCCTACAAGAATTGCATATGGAGCAAGCAGAACATTAAGCTGACATGGAGGCAGTAAAACTGTTTATCAGTATAAGGTAATTATATGGTTTTAGGATTAATCAAGATTGGTGAATAGATGGAACAAAAGTGGGCTGCAGGACTAAGGCTTTTACCATTGTTCTGGAAAATACAGAGAAGCTATTAAGAATCTGAATATATTAGGTGCATTGATAAGCGACAGGAGAAGATTGCAACAATTCCCTTATAGGCATTAGGAAAGCCTGTACTAGTGGTACTTGGAAGTAGATGGAGGGAGGGAGAAAAATAAAAGGTTCTGACATAATCAAGAGCAGTTACACTTATGGCAGGTCATATTACACCACAATGCAGCAACTATTTGTTGATTCAGCGAAATGAAATAAATAAGATATGCTAATAAATTTCAGCTAGTCAACATTAACCCCTTTGTGCCCAATGATGTGGGTTTTCCAGAAAAAAAGAACTGGAACTTGTTCCACTGCTTTAAATAAAGTTATCTGATTTAGTATCTTTTATTAAAACTTATTTTACACCCTAGCATGCTTTCTTTATCAATAAGCAATGCGGATTATGCTGATTAACAGAACTCAAAATGTAATCATGTCACTTTTATCTATGTGCAGAGTAAATATATATACGAGTATATCCCAGTGGCTGCAAAATATTTGAACCTATATATTTGCTTAAAGGAAATGAAATTAATAATATAGTCTATGTTATATTTAAAGATTTATATGGAAATTAACTCACTGAAATGTTGTAAAACTATAAAGGCAATTGCATATACTTCCTTATGGTGATTGTTTAACAAAAATAGCTCTTCTAGAAAGAACACACTGTTATTAGGATATAAACCCAAAGAGAACTGATACATAGCATCTTCTGCTTCTCCCACTCTCTGCACCATTTACCAGGTTCATTTCAAGTTGAGTAAAATCAGATTCAGAACCACTAACTGGGCACTTTATTTCAGCAAAGGGTGGGTGCAGGTCTCTGATGGTAGGCGGGAGAGCTTGGCCTGGAGGGTGCTGTTGCACTCAGGGCCTGTTTGTGAAATCGCATGGGCGACAAAGTAGTGCCCAACAGCAGAAGCTTGGCCCATGGTCTGATCTAGTATGGCTGTTCCTGTGTTCTCAGGTGATCACAGACTTAGTTCCAGTTGGCATAAGCTTCAAATACTGTTACTGACTTTAATCATTTTTAGTTTTAAAACTAAAAGTAGATCAAAGTAGAGAGTGGTAATCTTTCTCTCCATTTGGATAGAAATTCAGTAGAATTTTGTATGGATACAGTTACCATCTGGGTATTTATTTATTTATTTGAACATTTCTACGCCACCCCTTGCCGAAGCCTCGGGGCGGCTTACAACATAATAAAATACAATAAAATGCAAAAATAACAATATAAAATTAAAATTAACAATATAAAATAAATATAAAATATAAAAGAAGTCACCCTGGCCAGATAAATAAGCAAATATTGTTAACAATTAAAATGACATTAAATAAAAAGGTCTTCACCTGGCGCCGAAAAACAAATAACCTCTGCAGAGTGTTGATGATAGATTCAGGTTAGGTTCCTTGCTTTTTTTGTATAAATCATTTTCAAGTGGTTATACCTAATCCACCATTTGAAAAGTAATTTGTGTTAAATTAAGGGACATATTCCTAGTTCATACTGGTGAAACTTCAGCTAAAATCTAGCATAAATGAATGCAGTTCAAGACTCCTATAAAGTTTGCTGTTTCTCATTGTAGAGCTCACTTGGAAATAAGTGCAGAGAAATGGAATAAGTTGCTGACATCATTGGAAGAACTTATCAAATGGCTGAATCTGAAAGATGAAGAGTTAAAGAAGCAAATGCCTGTTGGTGGGGATGTTCCAACTTTACAGCAACAGTATGACCACTGCAAAGTGAGTTGTTTATCTTCTTAATGTTCACTTCCTCCCTTTAAAAAATGCTTAGCTAATTTGTAGCATGAGGTAAAACAGCACCAACAATTTATTTATTTATTTATCGATTTATATTCTGCCTTTGTCCTACAAAGGGCTCAAGGCAGCTTACATCTCCTCCTCCATCTTATCCCCACAAGAACAACCCTGTGAGGTAGGTTGGGCTGAGAGTCTGTGACTGGCCCAGAGTCACCCAGTTGGCTCCATGGTGGAGCGGGGACTAGAACCCAGATCGTCTGAGTCCCAGTCCCATGCCCTTAACCACTACACCAAACTCGCTTTCAAGATGGAGGAGGGACCACCACAGCCAGCCAACTGCATAGCTGGTTACAGCCACTCAACACATAGCTAAACCTGTTGCAAAAGGAGTTTCCTCTGAGCAAAGTTCAGAGAGTAAGTAGAGTGGAATAAGTATGTCTGCCAGCAATGCATTCAATATGCTTACCAAACACAGTGGCTCTCCTGTTTCTTAGGTATGTGAATATGAATCCATACTTGGAGAAGTGCCGGAATCTATTTAAATGTACAGGATCATTAGCTAAGTGGCAAACACTTTCCAAAAGCAAGTCTGGGAAGTGCCAGGCAAAATAGTATTTTCCATGAGATAGAAATAAATGCCCACTTGGTAGAGAATCATAAATATTCAAGAGTTTATGTATTTATTTATATATTTTTCCTATACCATTCATTAAAGATCTCATGACAGTTTACACAATTAAAAAATTAAATCAACAATAAAACAATTAAAAATTACTTAGTATTGTCACTATTAAAAAAACAATGTAAGGCATGGCATTTTGTATCATATTTAATATTTGATTTCAGAAGGAAAATGTTCCCAGCTCCTTTATTTATTTATTTATTTATTTTTACACAGACAAGAAGGCTTTTCATTTATTTGGCATTTATGCTTGATAGAAACTCATGAATACAGTTCCGGGTATAAGTGTACAGTTTAATATATTTGTGTTTAATCATAAACTGAGTTTAGTTCTAAAACCACCATCTGGAAAAATTATTTAAATTAGAAACAAAAGTGGTTCTTAATCTTTATCACTTCTGGCTACTGGAAAGAGAGAGAAGGGATGCAGAGAGGCTGGATGGGTCCTGCATTACTGATATTTAGGTGCCCAGCAAAAGTATGTCTATTACTTTAGACTTGAAACAACTACTAATATTAGTTTATGTGTTTTCTAACAGTGAGACTGGATTTTACTCTTTTGTATTAAGTGTAGCTATTATAGTTTGTCACATTAATCTGTATGCTTTATTGTATTGGTTTCTATCTTTCTATTGTACTCTTATCATTTCTTACTATTTTGTTAGTTGCCTTGTGAATATAAATATAATTAGTTGAAAGATGTCAGATAGGTAAGTGTTTGGTAGTTTCTGACTATACAGTTAAAGCTAGAAGTCTTATTGAGTCCACTTGTAAGCATTGCTCAAGAATGATGGAAAAGTCTAGACTATCAGCTCAACCACACTGCACATAAGTTGTCCTGCTTAAAGCCCACTGAAATGAATGGAAACAGGGTAAGACGTTTGTGGATTGAATCCTGTCATGGCTGTGGACTGATGTTGCTATATTGTTTTCTGTATCATAAGTTGTTTGCCATAGTTAACACATTTGTCTTTACGAGAGATCTACATCCTACAGCTTCTGTCATTATTTTCTTTTAAAGAAAAAATCATGATCAGGTAAACTGCTATCTATAGCAATTTACTATGTCTCATGGAAAACCCCATTAGGATTATTTCTCATCCAGTTCCGCTGTTGTCATGAAATCATAGCTGAATGTAGGACAAAACCAAGCATATTCATATAGGCAAAAGAACAATATAATAAGTTTATTTTTAAAATAACATTATAGAGCTAATAAAGTTTAACATCTCTGGTTGTTATATGTTTGTTGCATTGGATTGCTCATAAACAACAAAGGTGCTACTGTTGCTTTATAAAACTGGCTATGTTTTCACTTAAGTTTCACTCTCTGTCCAATCATAAGCCAATTTCCCCACTAAGCTCCACTTTAATACATGTTGTACTGAACGCTTGCTTATCTTTCAGATTCCCTGAGGATAAGGCTCCATAGCGTCAAAGTTTTCCCAAGACTTTACCTGAAGTCTTCAGTTTGGGCCTGCAACCACAATTATCTCAGATCCCCTGTACCCCCATTACTTGAGCTACTCTCAGAAGGTTACCTTAGGAAACTCTCACTACTCACTTGCACACCTTGACCACCTCTTGCCTCAAGTGATTTCAGCCTCAGGGTTGTTCTTCAGTTTTCCTTCAGCTGCTGGCATCTGCTGCTGCTGCTATTCACTGACCGACTCTTGACTCAGAAGGCCCACTCACTACCCCTACCAGGGCTGAACCTGTCCTTACACTTTCTCCAGCCAAGCAATTCCTTTAGGAGCAGCATTCGACCACCACCACACACAAATAATTGACCAATAGGTTTGAACAGTGTCCACAAGTTAACCAGTCACACCTGCCCACTTTTTAAATTGCATACTCCTGTATAAAAAGACAGAAACCTTACTTTGGTAGCCACCTCCTAGGTAACAACAAGCAACTACCTGGCAGTTTAAGAATTGCTTGGTGTCAACCTAGCATTCAAGCTTTATATCTCTTTTACAATTAACCCTTCAGGAAAGAGACTCTACCCCAAACAAAATATATTCACATATCTAACTTTTTAATAAGGTAAATGCAGAAGAGATTTTCATTTTTCTGGTTATGCTTCATGAAAAAACTGGGAATAACAGGAATAATAGCCAAAAACAGATTAGGAATGGATAAATTAAGTCATACAGTAATATAATTCTTCAAAACACAAACATTTAGAGAGAGGCAAATTGGTACCCCATATAATTGCAAAATGGCTGTACACCACAGCCTCAACGAGAAATTCTGATGTCCTGCACAGGGCAATAACTGTAACTGAGTCTGCATTGTGCTGCACTTTCTTTTTGGTACAATAATTTTATAATGAACTGTGTTATTGGCTTAGGTGTTACTCCTATAATATTTGCAGTCTAAATAAGGATTATTGCTACAGGTGGGCCTGTAGTATTCTTACAATTCTTAGAAAAACAACTAGTCTCTTGTGTATCATGTTCTGCAACAAAGAGGTTTCAGGGCAGTGATACCTTTCTGTCACCAAAACACCACTGCTCATCTCCACAATGACACTTCACACAGTGTGCTGTTTTAGGCCACTGATGTTTAGTGACGGTGCTAGACTTTGCCTTGTTCCCAGCACTTCATAATTTATACACATAGACCTCTCTACCTCATTTGGTTCCTGCCATCTCTTCTGTAACTTCTTATAGTTTAATTTGTTGTACAAACTCCAAAATAAGTTATAACACCTTTTTTTGTTTAATGTTGTTCATTTAATAGCTTGCTCTCCTTCTGTTCACTTTCCCCAGTGTATTGCTTCAAAAACACTATGCAAATAAGTAGGGGTAATGCAATTTTAAATTTGTTTGCCTGATTCATTTGAGTGCCACCAAAATGTACTTGAGCAATGGAAGAATATATATTCATTTTCTTAATTTGCCTTGAGGTTATATTAGCAAAAGTAACATTTTGCATAAAGAAGTTCTGAGAAAGCAAGAGAACTGTACAAGCAGAGGAGCAATAAAGATAGAGTGGCACTGAAACAAATAATAGCCATTAATAAATACATGTACTTTCAAATTATTTGACCTCCTAGTGTTTTATCACTTTTATGTTGTTGATTTTGTAAGAGATCTATTCTCTGTTAGGCACAGTCCTATAGCCATTGGTTGCATGGTAATCATTCTTTGTTCTGTTATTAAAGTTTCTTTTGGTGATAAAATGTATGAACTACTATAAATAAAGCACAAGAAGGACATAATTGTGATTGAATGCAAATTTAAAAAAATATTCGCTTCCCTAAATGCTCTACAGTGTTGAGTTTACACAGTCACAGGACAAGTACGTGAACCTTGCAAAGAATGTACTTATCTGTGGCATAAAATGAATGGCAGGATGAAACAATTTCCCAATCTTCTCAACCTCAGAATCTCAAAACAAGGAAGATGGCTCCCAGAATTAGAGACTTTGCAGAGTACAGTGAAAAATAGAAAAGGGTCAGGCTAGCTGTCCCAGAGGACTCTGAAAAGCCAGTTCCCCAGAGCAATGGTGAACTTGGTTCTATATAGATGTTTTAAACTTCAACTCACATCAGTCCCAGGTAACATGGCCCATGGTCAAGGATATTGGAAGTTGTAGTCCAAAATGTGTGGAGGACACCAGGTTCAGGAAGGTTGCCCTATGGTATATTCTGAGCTTTCTGGTTGGTAATAACCCTTTAGAAGAGCCTTGATTTCTTTCCTTTTATAGTTTGTTGGCTTGAAAATGGATGGCCTCTTTCCTCATTTTCTAGCAGGCTTTGAAATGAGGCACCATTGACTCGAGTACATATTTTCATAATTATCTTAGTTCTGAAGAAAGACTGAGGCAAGCATAGAAGGCAGCTCTTACCTTTGTAGATACTTAATTGAAGCATATGCCTAAAGGTGTATAGAATAGAGGCTTTGTCCTCTGCAGGAGCTGGAGGAAAAAAATTGTAGCTTTCTTTTGTCCTTGCAAACCTGTATGAGGCACTGCTGCTGGGGAAAAGCCATTGACAGAAAACTGGAGTAGGCAGATGCAAGTAATGTTCTTGTATGATTCTGTCATGGCTCCTCTCCCAATTTTCCCCATGGAAAATAGCTTTTGCTGTTCTAAACTTATTGTTGACAATGGAGGGAATCAATCTGTATTCCAACTTTGGCTTTATCGGAACACAAAGAAGACACTTCAATAGCATGATGCAAAAATAGCAGAAATTCTGCATCATCACGGTTTCCTAATAGACAGGAAGAAGTTATATTGCCCTATGTGGAGGTATACCTAAATGGTGTGTCTTACTGCATCTTCTTTTATT